AGTGCAATTTACATACAAGATATTAGGTGAATTAATTATTTTTACGGAATCACATTGAAGTTATATCGTTTCCGTATTACTAAAACTAAATGTTATTCATCCGTCTCTTGGTTTATTTCAAAATAGTAATATAAAGAATCAATCTTATCTGTTCCATAATAATAAAAAAAAAAATGTAAATATAAAATGTATATTAAATTCATTGTCACAAAGTTTATAATTGAACGTTTATCGAAAAGTTACTTATCCAGTGCTAAGTAGACGTGATTTAAACATGAAAATTTATTTCTCAACGGTGAACAAAGCAAGTTATAAAAAGTTCGGATTAATTAATTATTGCAAAAAATTTTATTATTATAATAATGTACGTATTGGACGTTTTTATTTAAATCAATAAGATGATTAACCATGTAAAAACTGATTCTCAGTTATCAAATCAATATCAATATTACGAAATTCATTATTGAATTATTATAAATAATACAACAATTTAAAATATCATTCGGAAACAATCTGTTTGAAACATACATTATTTCATAAAACATAAGAAAACATGAAATATATATTTATTCATTTTATAACTATTATTCAGAAAATTATTTATCGGTTATTATTGGCTTTCTATTACTTTTTATAAAAAGTTTGTAACAAACGTCGCGCAAACACATTTGTATTTGAATAATTGAAAGAAAATGCCAAACCGCGAGAAGAAGGAAGCAAAGGAAACGACCACTCCCGAAGTGCCCATCACTCAAGAGATGGAAGAACTCATAACTGCAACTGAAGAGAAGGTGCAATCGTCACTCCACCAAGGCCATTATCATCAATAACCCTGTTGGCTACTGCTTTGGCTAAAATAAGCTAACCATCGACAACATTACAGGCACGTCTTCTTATCGATACCGGCCCCGAAGTTACGTTTACAACGGAAAATCTTATGAAGAAGCTCGACTTAACTCGTCAACGTTCCGTCATCATCGTCCATGGAATTTGAGGATACAGACATCACAAAAATGTATAGGCAGACTTACCATGGTAGTCGAAGCTGTTTTTAACGTGACAACTCTGGTCGGCCCATCCTTGCCAGGATGACTGTTAATCATTCTAGAGAGAGGCCACTTGCAAGTGGTGGGTAACGATCATCGGTGATGAGTACCAACGGGCCAATCGTGTCCCTTAGCATTTACATAGTTTCGGTGCAAGATTCACTAACTGAATGTTGAATTGAAAGTAAGTCTGCAATCACAAACGAATATTTGTGAACGAATACAATTACTACCGATAAGATAGAACTTCTTAAGCGATGATGCAGAATACTTTTTACTAATTGGCTTAATGTTTCAGAAACACTATGAAACCATTATCAGGATTAGCTAGCATCTCGTTTAACCTTAGCGCAAACGTGTGTGCGCGCGTGTGTGTGCGTGTGTGGCAAATAACTTAGTAAGTTGCGAAAATATGGCGAAAAATTTAGTAAGTTTAGCAGATTTATTTTATTAGTGCACTGTGTTATGTGTCATTATGAATTTTAATTGCAATTTTTTAACGTTCAACTTAGTAGAGGTAAAACGGTATTTAAAAATGTAGTTCAATGTTTAGTAGCTACGATATCTACACATATTACGTCTACTTAGACAATGATTTGATCCTTTGTAATTAACGATATAAGTAAATGTATACGTACATTTTATCGATATTTACATATTACTTTATTTGTACTCGTTGTGAGAAAACAAAAGGCAAAAAAAAAAAAAAAAGAATAGTAAAAATCCTCTGAAGGAAAAAAAATTTACATTTTCACCTCAAGTAATTGAAATCCTATGCACTTTTTCTTCTTTTTTTTTCTTTCTTTTTTTTAATTATCAATCAATTAATTGATCGTTTAATTTTCGTAATATAGAAAAATATTTCAACAATTGTACAAACTTTATTGAATAGCTTTTATGAAAGCGTCGGCGAAATAATTTCTATTAAAATACCTTATCATTGAAATTAAGACAGGATCAACTATACTATTGCCAGTAATTAGAATGAATAAGACTTTATTCGTTTTCTTGCATATAAGAGCCCGTATAAGCCATAAAAAAGGCAAATCTACAAATTTACGTGAAATCAATATGCAATAATTTCTGGGGTCACGTAATTTCTATTGTCGTTTCAATACGGATGTAAATAAAGTCAAATCGTAGGTAAAAAAAAAAAAAATCGAGGCCTTGATTCAAATGCACAAATCTAATCGAACAGCTAATGTCTGTAAATGTGTAGGGGTTCAATTTAACATTTGCACCGACTTGTTTAAAATCATCTTTCTCCTAGATCGTGATAGAGCCACGATCGTGTTGCCGTATCGAGATCGCTAGGATATAAATTGCTTTCGTGTCCGAATCAATTCTGCACCTCGAAACATCTCAGTTCAAAATTGATTGATTAACTTCGTGACTTTAGAAAAAAAAAAAAAAAAATACTGTCTACAATACTGTCGCATTGGTGAATTATTGAGGTGAGAAACATTATCAGTTAATCCAATGGGCTATTCGACTTTCTTTGAATTTTTTTTCTATTTCAAAGCAAAATTGTATATTGACTCGTAGATATAATATAATTGCAAAAAATAAAAATAAAAAAAAAAGCCCGATAAATGTGAATTATAAAATATTTACTTTTTTGGATTAAATTATGCAATAAGTTTTTTTAAAGCAACATAAAATTTCACTTATATATTATTATTATTATCCATTACCTGATATTGAAATAGCTTGAACGAATTTCACATATTTATTCAAATTTTATGTCCTTATTTTGAGGATCTTACAAAAAAAAAAAAAAATTTCATTAACTCTTAGAGCACTTGGAATATTTTTCAATTTACACACGTTTTGCTAAGAAAGAATAATTTAATATTTCTCATCCAATTTCATATATTTGTATATATATATATATATATATATATGATAGATGATAGATGATTCTGTTTCCATGTTGAAAAATCTCACAAAATGATGATATCTATCATAATCGTCAATATTTACGTATAAACACAAATTTTTCCATCAAATATATTGAAAAAAAACTTATTTTACTTAAACTATTGTCGTATCTTTGAAATTCTACTTACTTAAAATTCCTAATAAGTCATTCATCGAAAGTGATGGATTATTCTTAGATAGAATTTTTTATATGTAATGTAAGTTAAGTAAGGTAATTAATTCCATTAGTTCGTTCCTTTCCAACATTTCACTTATTAACATTGGTTAAAACATATGTTTTAGAAATTTTTAAAAATTTGCAAATAACACCTGACTATAAAATGTTTTAAAATTTTACTTGATATAATTATAAAATTCATTGAGCAATTAACTTTTTTCATACCGTAATATTTCATCGAATGTTCATAATACTTGTATAAATAAAATTAATTTCTTCATCACAATAGTCCATAGCCATATGTTTTTGAATTGGTAAATAATGTTGAGCCGAAGGTCTACTCTCATTTAGCTTGACTTTTTAGTTTGTTTTGGTGTTTCCTTAACTTCGGCAGACGTCGCGGCTATTCAAGCAATTCCTTGAAATTGCATGAGCTGCGAATTCTTGCGAAGCCATTGTAAATAATCTTAAATAAAAGCTGTTAATAAGTGACAATATCTGTGAAAAGTACAAAATTTTATACTTCGATTTTAATAATTAAAGTAAGTGTTGAAAAAAAAAAAAAAAGTAATTTAAACGGGTTAAGTTGTCTTGAAAGTCTAAATTCATTAAACTAAACGTTTTTTTTTCTCTCTCTCTCTCTCTTTATCCGTGGTAAATTCAGATAAAATAATATACAAATCCAAATGCTCGTAATTTCATTTTAACCTCATTTTACTTTCGAAAATGCAAAATTTTACATTATCTTTAAAAATATAATGTAATACTTTCAGAAAATGAAATTGTTTTCTTTATAAGGGATAAAAAAAAATAATTGTCGAATTTTTCTTATAATTTATCGTTTTCAAAGTAACGGAGGACAGTCACTAGTCCCAGAATTTACTATGAAAGAAAAAATCAAAAATCAAAAATAGACACAAACATCAAAAGTTTTATAGTGCATTTGAGAAGTTAAATGACGAAATATTAATTATTATTAATATGACTTAGTTGTGCTTTGTTGTGTAAATTTTTTAATATGTATGCACAAAATTGATTATATATAGATGGAATATACGTGGACTAGAAAATGAATATTAAAGTTTTATAAGGCATCGGTGTTCTTTAATGTTAATGTGATTCAAAACTTCATAAAGTTTATTACAAATACTTAGATATTAAATATAAAAGCTGAAAAAATTAATCGATGCATTCAAGATATGTATTATACAATAATAAAAATAAAATTTGAATAGAAAAATGTGATTGTAAAAGAAAAATACGTAAACTTAATTATTCAAAGAAAGCCTGACAATGCTACTTCTGTTATAAATTATAATTACTTTATTTTTATTTTAGTTATTATCGTTATTATGATGATTATTATTATTATTATTAATATACTACTATTAACATAAATATTATGATAATGAATTATCTAATAGAATCTTTCTAGTCGAATGTATCTATAAAATAATATTTTATTACGTTAAAACTACATCACTGATAAAAAAAAATAAGCTAGGATAGGATTAATCTAGAAAAATTTATTATCAGTAATTATCAGTTACTGTTACTTTTAAAAGCGAACAACACCAATGTAATATAACCAAAGGAATAAACATCTACAATATTCTTAATTATTTATACATTTATTCAAGTAATTTGATCATAATGTTGTAAATACTATTTTATGTTTCAAATATTGTTTAATTTGCTTATATATTATTATAATCATATAACTAATCATATATATTAATCTTGATAATATTTTTTAAAATTTAATCTTAATAATATTTTACTCAGTTTTTTTTTCTTAGTAAATTGTTGATAATAAAGGCACGGGGTATTGTTAAAAATTCCATGTAATTCTAAGTGCGATATTATATTATATTATTATTAACGTAAATTTCAGATGTTTTATTCAGTGGATCTTTTAAGGATACGAAAAAATAAAAAAGGACGTATTCCGGCATGTTGGCTCGCAGCTACGATTAAAGAATTCGTCGGCATTGGTATCCATAAGCTATCAAAAGCAGACCTCGAGAGACTAGATGTTGAGGCTGCTTGGTATACAAATTATATATGTTTATTTTTCATCCTATAAAACTACAAAACAATCTTTTGTTTCATAAAAAATTTCAATTATTGTTCTAATGAAAGATCTCAAACATACGATTATTATTATATGAAGCGTTGAATTGCGCTCTAATAATCTCTAATAAATAATAATCAATTTTTAAATTCTAAAATAGTATGCAATTTTGTGTGTGTGTGTGTGTGTGTGTGTGTAATGTAGAAAAACTAGTTTATAATAAAATTTAGAATTATTAGTAAGCTATTTCTTGTATGTCAACACGTTATTGCAAATGTAATATTATCAACAATTAATTATCTATTATAATGTATTATGAAGCAAATATTGTACGTACGATCAATGTGAACATTATGTTTATTATATTAATATAATTTATATAAATTACAGCTGCGATATTTTTGACGGTATAACAGGAAATGAAATTTCTAACCGTTTTAGTCTTTATTTGTCATCACAACTCACTTTCGGGCTTTTAAAAATATTTCGTCAACAAGTCATAAACGTAGAAGGTGATTGGATCAATTTCTATATTCTATATATATATATATATATATATATATATATATATATATATTTATATTTTATAAATTAACGTTTTAATTTGAATATAGAAGCATGTCAACAACTATATACAAGTATATTGACAAATTCAACAATGTCCAAAAAAGAAATTTCAAGGTTTAATATAAAAATCTCTAAATTCTATAAATAGATATATTTTAAAAGCTTTATTATTTAGTTAATATAAATAAATAATATTTACAGCAAAAAACCAGTTGGCAAAACTATAGGAGCAGTGAAAGACGTTGAAATGGAGACAGTAGATTTAACGTGTTTGTTTCCAGAAAATGAAGTAGATAAACACCTCATTCAAGAAGAATTACCTATGGTAAGAAATCGCTTTTAATTAGTTCTTAATAAGAATTGTAACGAATTTAAATTTAAATTATTTAATTTAGTTAGTGGAATTAGGTCTTGAATTTTCCATTAATGAAAATGTTGAGGAAGATATTAGAGGGTAATGTTTTTGTTAATATTTGTATATTATAATTTATATTAGATAGTCTGTGTTTAAAATAATTGTAATGTCGATATGATAGATTTCCTTCGACTCTGCCTTCCTTCGAGGACGCTACTTCTAATAATGTTGAGGAAGTTTTAAACGAACTTAATTTCACAACTGGTAATAGCTATTTTTAAATGATTATACAAATTCTTTATTAGTTATTTCATTAATATTCGTTTCATTGTTTCATAAATTTTATTTGAAATTGTTTATCAACGATAGAGGAAGAAAAAATGCTAGATGTTTCATTGCAAGATGTATCTGTATTAAGGACTCCGGTTACTCCAAAAAGAAAATATGATAAAACTCACGACGGAACACCAACGAAAAAAAATAGGGTAAACAATTCGTAAAAATGCATAAAATCCTATGAAAATATTCAAACAATTTCGTACATATTCGTGCATGTATATAAAATTCATAACATCATTTAATCATATTAATTTATTATTTGAATTTATCAATTCAAATATAATTATTATTAATATACAATGGTATAAAAAAAAACTCAAATAATTTAATATTTTTTCCAAAGCTTGAACAATGTAATGAGCCATGTGCCATGAGATAATGTCATAAAATAAAATTATAGGCTTTGCATAATAAAAATTCCAATTTGTTCTTTTAATTCATTGAATGATTTTTTTTTAATAAGTTATAAATATATTTATGTCGTCGTAAGCATATGTTTTTATAGAAAACATTATCCTCGACATCGAATCCATCGGAATTAGCGAGAAGTCCCATCACACCACTTACAGCTCGTAGATCAATTTTTAAGGCTCATGACATGTCATTTATAATGGATGCTGATCCTGGAATTAGTGGCTGCGTACCAATGAATGAAGAAGCTGCACATTCCTTATCCAATGCCATAGAACCCGGGGCAGAAGGTAACAGGAGGGATAATTTTTTTTTTTTTTTTTTTTTTTTTTTTTTTTTTTTTTTTTTATGGAAAGTACATTGGTAAACCGTTAATTTTTATTTTTATACTAATTGTTCGACACGTTACAATTATATTAAAAATTCTTAAAATTTTTGCAGATTGCAATGAAACTAATGGTCAATATAAATATTTAAATGAATAATCAATAGGTTTTAATTGCTTCAATTATTTTTACTGGCTTTGTTCTAATTATAATTGTATGATTATTACAGTAATTTCAAAAACGTCTAATTTAAAGCATTAATTAAAACAATAAATTAAAATATCATAATAGATATTTAATATCTTGATTACCAAACAATATTATCGGTTTCCTTAAACGTACTATCATTAGATTGTTAGATATCTAAATTTATTGCAGAATATTAATTTTAATACTACTTCCAGAATTGATATAACAATAGAATTCATAAATATTTCATGATCTTATAATCAATCTATCTATTTAATAATTTTTATAACAAATTTTGCACCTAAAGTGAATTAAACTTCGAGCGATGGCAATAATATTAGTAATACTAACAATAATATTAATATTCATAATACTGCCATTATTAATAATATCAATAATAATGATAAATTGGTTATATTTAAACACGCAACTAGAACAGGCAAGAATTTCCGTGAGATTCTCAATACCGACAGGAACAGCCGACCAATTACTAGCCGAACAGAATGTCGACGAAATTATTGCACCACCGCAGATCAGCGACGAAAGTTTCACGGGATTGAGTACCAGTGATGCAAGCTTCGGTAGATTGCAAAAAATTGCCAAGAGATTAAAAACTCCCCAGTCGAAAGACAAAAGCGGTTTACGACAGGCAGCACCAAGGTAATAACCCCAAAAAGAAAGAATGTTTAAGGATACTAAAGAAAAGATACGAATGGGAGAAATTACAAATAGATAATTCCTTCAAGTTGATTAATTATTTTAATAATTAATTTATTAAAGTAATTTAATATTTAATTCATATATATATATATATATTAATACCACTAACTTGTGATTCGTAATTTACCTTTATAATTTATTTGTTTTGTTTTTTTTATCGCACATTCTATATTAATGATATCCCTTTATAAATTTTACTTTCACTGATTTTTTCACTGTTAGCTTATTTCTAAACTGAATATTATTTCTTCAAAATTTCATTCGATCATTAATAATTATTTAAAATGAATAATTTCTTCAGAGTTGTAACAAAAAATGAAAAAGATAATTTTCAATTGCAAGAACTTGAAACATCAAGCCATTCAAATTCTTTACAACGAAAAAGACTTAAGAATAAGTATGTGTTTGATCGTACAAAACAAATTTATATCAAAGAGCCTAAAACCCACTTATTGTACACGAGGGTAAATTTTTAATCGTTTAATTACAAATATCCGTCTCGCATAATTAATTATTATTATAGATTAAAAAAAAATTTTTTTTTTATTTTAGTCAATGATATCCACGCAACCAAATGTTAATAATAAAATTTTAGCCAATGATTTATTGAGATGGCCATCAACAGGATTAAAAATTAGAGCAACATTGAATAAGAAGCATTGTCCTTGGGCCAAAATATTACAAGACTTATTTACTGATATGATTGAGAACTGTTGTAATGCATGTGGTAAGTTTTTCCCTTTATTTTTATTAATGAAATTAATAAATTATCGTGCGCAACGATTACAAATTGATATTCGTTTTTGTGCTAATATAACCTAATATATATATATATATATATATATATATATATATATATATATTAATATTAATCCGTTGTTTTACAAATTACATTATAAAATATATTTAGTAATAAACGGTAAATATGTATTCGTTTGCCTGTTTTTTTCTAATAATTTTTCTCTTCAATTATTTAATTGCCTACGAATTATCAATTCGTTTAATGTAATTCGCGTGCAAGCGCAATCGTTCGAATCTTCATAAAAATTAAATCGCTAACAATAATGTAGATAATTGAACCGAAGGGATTAACGAATGTTGGTCCGATAAAAATAAATTTATTTAATATTTAATAATTATAAAAATACTATAAGAATACCTACACTTTAATATAATTTATTATTTAAATTTGTATATCATATTTTTAATGAGAATGTAAACAATAATACAATTTGTTATTTATAAATGATTATATCCTATAATATATGCTATAATGCTTTTAAGTGAATTTATTATATTTCTCTTTAAGTATAAAGTAATGAAATGAGAAACATTATCATTATTTCGGTCATAATAATAATATAAATTCTGCTTGGAAACGAACGATTAATAAAGACATTACGACGTAAAAATTATCATCATGATATTATTATAATATAATTATCAATTATCTCGTTATATAAGCGATGTTTGCTGATTTTCAGAAGAAATGTATCAGGAGTCAGCGCGTAGAAATACAAGTGCCAATAAAAGCCTTAGATTATCTGACTTCGCACGTGGTAAATCGTCCTCTAGACCGAGCACACCACGGCAAACCTCTTCCAAGTCGGGATTAAATTTAACTGCAGAACGAAACGTGGAATGCGAAGTCACAGATACGGATATGTTACTCATGCCACCTCCGTTGCCATTACAAGTACCAACCTCGGAATTGATAGTAGATGAAAATGAGCTGAATCAGCAGGCAAAATTATCAGAAGCAGTGCAGTTAGTAGTGATCCCATTGTAGTATTAAAAACTCTGCAAATGCATTAAATTTATTCACTTTGGAAGGATTGTAATAATGTTTAACATAAGATTTAGTCATTATAATGTCATAATAGTCTTGTGCTATTTCCCTTTGAGTATCTGCGTAATGTTACCCTTCCGTTTTCTTCAATCGAATTGTTATCAATATCTTTGGATTTCTCATTGATAGTTGGTCACGTAAAACATAAATATCAGTCGGTTCGGAAAGGATGATAAAATGCATTAATTAATTAATTATATATAATGCAATTGAAATAATATTATTTGCATCGACGTAGAAAGTTAATCAATACTTTAATTATTTTATGATTTTAACTTTTAACTTTGTGCAATCAATTTGTTCTTCGATAATTTCTAACAATTATTTCTAATAATTAATTATGCAATTCTGAATAGATCCTCTACGGAACCGTCGGATTTGCAAATATCGATATTGACAAGAGAGGCTGATGAAAATGTTCATGATGTCTCACAGGTCGAGTCGTCGTTGCTCGAGAATCAATCGAAACGACAGTTGGCAGTCTCCGGAATGTATTTGATCTCAGAATCCGAGGATAGTTTTTTGCCTAAGTTACGGTGCTCAGAATCGATGTCATCATTGCCACTGTTAAGTTTTTTTTTCTTTATTTATTTACAAATATACGGAATGCAAACGCATACGAATATGCGGAATTACAAACTCTAATAACAAAGCCAACATCCAATAATTACATTAGAATATAATATTTGATGAATTGTAATAAAAACGAGATAAACAAGTATTGGAGAATCGTTTACATTTACATAAGATTTGAATATGGAATCGTTAGGATATGAAAATTTACGAGCAAGTATCAAAGCTTAATTCTAATTATTCATGCCAAAGATCCAAATAGAGTAGAAATTTTACTCTAGGGAAATTCATCAAATCTAACTCTCATTTTGGGTGGTCTACCCGCTCAAACTTTCCCAATGAAAATTCGAATGTATTTACAACCTATCATTATTTGTACATTATTTATCACAATAAAATAATTTTAAGCAGCGATGATTTTTTTAATAAAAAAAAAAATAAATAAATAGAAAAAAATAAATAAATAAATAAATAAAAATATATAAAATATATTGATTTTAAGAGAATTTATGCAACAAGATTTATAAAATAACATGCTGTTAAAATTGCTAATATTCTGCATTTATAATAAAAATGTTTTCAGAAGCAGTGAATCTGAATCTCAACATGAAAATTTAATAATAACTTTTGAAGAATTTTATGAATTTTTAAAAGAGATGTGGATAGTAGCAGCGAATTATTTAACTCACGATGATGAACTAGTGGAATTGGAACTTGATGATATTTTAACACCAGGAGATGCTTCTATCGAAGAATTAATTAAATATTTTATTTATTGTTGTGGTATGTCGTATTTTTATTAAAATTCTATGATCTAGTCAAAAAAAAAAAAAAAAAAAAAAAAAAAAAAAAAAAAAACAATAGAGATAGGTATTTACTATTATAATATGCAAACGTTCTTATTCTTTTTCTTGCAGAATTGGAAACGAAACATAAATTACATATCCAACAAGATATTGTTTACGGACCTGTTAATATAATAAAAATATAAGTTATTGAAAAAGAGATAAATATTCAGCGATAAAAATTACTTATATATTGTAGTTTTTAAAAGCGTTGAACTTTTATTTATTTATTTTTTTTTTTTTTTTGTATATCATTTTATTTATAAAAAAATTATATTTTATCTATTTACAAATCTACAAATACATATTTCATGTAATATTCTCAATTTTACTCTTATCTAATTTAATGATAATGAACTGTATAATTTTATTGAATAATACACGTTAATCATTCATTTTTTATTTTATTTTTTTTTTTTAATAAAAATCAACGAATTAATTACATTTATTTAGAATGTTATTGCTATTAAAACTATTAGTGTTATTGTACTCTATCGGATAATGAAAGTCCAAGATAAGGAAATGGTTAATAAGAAATGAGAAAAATGACGAATGTCGGAGAGTATTGAGCGACGAGGTATCGTTAGAATATTATGAATGAGTTATCGCGTGCCCAAGCAAGAGGAATAAAACGGAATACATAGTGAATCGTGTACATTACTCTAATGAATGTATTATCAATGTCAATGACTCGTTCGCATTTGCAGGTATTGTCTTTTGCGTATGATATAACCATATAATAAGTGAGTCACAAGCATTTTCGAATGCAACAGTCAGACATTGTAGCTCATGCGATATAAATATTATAAAAGGTAAATCGCGTGCGCTTAGCCAGCGTGTAATAGAAAAGTATTTATTGACTCGTTAATGTGCATAGGTGTCAGGCATGCAAATTACAAATTCAACTGCAAAAGAAATGTATCCGTGGCGCATGATTTATGCAAAATATCACGTACAATCTCATTGGCTTATGCACGAATCCCTAAATTGGAATCTTTATTCCCTGCTTTGCAATATTACATTAATTACATATAAAGTAATGCTTTGAAAATATTTTCTGCATACTTGTTTAATATGTACATTATGTAAATTACGTAATACAATATCAAATGCTTCAAATTTCTTCAAAGTTATTATAATATAACATAAATATAATAAGTAAATTTTAGCCATTGTTCCGTGAACAATAATGTCATGCAGCTTACAAACATAATTACATAGTAAGTTACATAGCAAACATAGTAAATTAATAAATTCTAAGAGATTCGAGGACACTAATTGTAACATGATATATAATTAATATCTATAATAAAAAGCTTGTAGCTTGTTAAAATACAAGAAAACATACGGTGGGGAGTGGGTGGTGGTGGTGGTGGTGGTGGCGGTGGTGGTGGTGGTAGTGGTGAGGAATAAACATTTATTAAACGAAATATATTTCGATAGTCTCTAAATTTATTTTATAATTGTTTGGATTAAATTGCCTCTCGATAGGTTCCGATTACCAGCCTTCGATTTCTTCTTCATAACGTTACAGTCATCGTATAATAATAATCTTTATTTACTTTTTTTTTTAACTTTACATTCTATAAAAATGAAAGCTTTGCTTACAATAAGCCATTATATCTTGTAATATTATTATTCGCGTTTAACTAACGATTTATAATGTTGCAAAACTAACGTTGCATTAATTATTAAGATACTGTTAAACGATAATAATTTTAACTTATCCATAACTAAGATTAATAATTATATTGCAATAGTAGTTTATGAATAATTAAATTTAATATAAATCTTTGAAATCTTTACATCTTAACTATTTCAGTATTTCAAATTTAGTTTTATACATTATATGTGTATAATATGTATATACGATCAATATTTAAACATACGTAAGTTTTCAAATTATAACCACTTGGATATTTTATTATTTCCATATTACCTTTATAAATTTCGGATAATAATACATAAATACAATAATTAATACTTATTGATAAAAGGATTATCAAGCGTAATTAAAAATCAAATACATAAAAAAGTTTCGTCTGTAAGGTATAAATTTCATTGTCAAATATATATAAAATACTTTACGCTCACCAAATCCAAAGTGCTATTTATTATTTACCAAGAGATTTAAATATCAATCGTTGCAAATCAATCTAAAAAATTGAAGAAATGAGACGAAGAAAGAAATTAATGTTCAAGATATATACGTGAATACAATTTATAATACAACGATACACGGCTATCTTATAAATATTGAGGAATGACTTCACTTCCTAACAAAAATATAACGAAATAACATTGTTGTCTTCATTATGCGCACGAAAAGTACAATTTTGAATATCATTCGGAAACGGTTAACAAACAAGTTATCAATAGTATACGATGGACAATCCGCACGTACGACAATGACAATAGAGCAATTGTCGTTTCTTCTCTTTTCCTTTCATCTCGTTTATTGAAAAAAGTCCTCTACACATTTGTACAAGTGTATTCGCATACTAAGGGTTCACATTTGCTATGTCGACAAGACTCTCGTATGTGGCACATCGATAAGAGCACGTATATAATAAAAAATTAAGTCTACCACAACGTACAGAGTTTTCGACCCTATACTTATACTATATCATTCTTTCCCTTAAATCTATTATTATTATTATTTATTTATTTATTTATTTATTTATTTATTTATTTATTTTCACTTCTGCTTTATACATACTGGTCGGTCGATAGACATTTACATAGCTTATATACGTATATATTACAATAGAAAAGAAAATAACACAACGAGGACGAAACTCGTTGGTGCAGTAATTAGTAATTATAAGTTAACTATAAAATCCTCTAATCTAATTGCAATATAGATCTAATAGATTTTAAATTAATCTGTTTCTTTGTTTGCTTTCTTTTCTATACGTAATGTGTAAATAACTTGATCTGCAAATCAAAATCTTACAATACATTAACACTTGGTTCGCATTTCAGTTTCCACTGATTATTAGTTGTCCCTAATGCTTATACAAGGGTATTTTAATTATTTTACTTAAATGTACATTACATCTTAATTGTTTTATTTTTAAGAGCGAATTTTAATACACAGCTTGTAACCATGAAAAATAAATGCTTGACTACTTTGGCAAAAAGATTTCTCTGAAAATCAAATGAAAAAAAAAAAAAAAAAAAAAAAAAAAAAAAAAAAAATAAATATAATTCGTACGTCGTCTCACAAGTTTTTCGTAACATTACGATACCCGAGAACAATCAAATGAAACTCGCTCGATTATAGATTCTGAAGAATTTTCAGAGAAAACTTTATTCGAGGTATAATAAATGGCAAATTATACTGATATTAAATTATTATTAAACTTATTAAATATTATATATATATATATATATATATATATATAATAAGAATTCAAAGTATTTTGCTGCTTTTAAAAACTAATTATATTTTGTATAATTATTAAAATAATGAACAATACAAAAACAGATCAAAATTCGATCCTCGAACTTTAAAATCTGTATTAACATGTAAGATTGTCTAAATTATCACCAGTTTCACAGAGAAATTTCCAAATATTTTCTTTAAAATAAGACTTCATTCATTCTCTTTTATTATTATCGTATATTATTCGTACAATTTTAAAATGATTTCGCAGAAGTATAATTACCACCGAAATTAAAATATGAAAATGAATCATTACAAGTAACGGACAAACTGAGCATTTTAAAAATACAAGCTTACAAATATGTTTGCTTTACTTTGTATACTGAAATTTCATAATTAATTGCAAATGTTTTATATATATATATATATATATATATATATATATATATTATATACACACACATACTCGCATTCTTAAAAATTTAATAATGCTCCGAAGAAATGTTATCAAATGATATTATTGTAAATTGTCATTTCTGCACTTTATTAAAAATTGTTTGTTTTTTGTTTTTATTTTTTTACACTTGTCAACAACAAAATAGTTTAGTTTCATAGAAGTTATGTATTATATGTTCGTTACTTGTTTTATAAAATGAAAATTATTTGATGCCTTAAAATGTTGAAAACCCTTCATCAATATTTGGATCTTCAATATATGTGTAAAGAAAAAACAACTTTCACCTAAATACATTTACACTAAATTGAATGAAAAATTTGAATTCAAATTTATCATGTAATGACACAGAATATGATTGCAGATTGTTTGAAAATTTAAAAAATTTGGGTTTCACTAAGTCCACTACTTCTAGGACATAATTTTTTTAACATATTATGAAATATATAATTGAAGGTAGAAATATTGCATTAGTAAACGAATTATTCTAGAATCCAAACATATTATAATTCAAACAATTCGTTATTAATTCTGATGAACAAAAAAAAAACATACACGCACACACACACACACACACACATATATATGTGTGTATATATATATATATATATATATATATATATAAACACGTCGATTAAATGTTACGGCTAATAGCATCAATATACTGATTATTCTCAATAAGTGCAAATGTCACAACTTAGGAAATGTCTCGGAAGTTGAGAGATTTATTTTCATGTAAGGCACGGAGTATTTACACGTGAGAGTTACGTCACTCGTGTTATTTCTTATTTTCATTTATAGACAATCGTCGTCTCTTACACCTGTTTTAGTTTCAGTAGCTCGCGCGACAAAATTGCACAGCCCAATGTAAACTTAATAGACAAGGAAATGCGCTAGGAACTCGCAATGCAATCAGGTTCGGGATCGACTCTCCATATAGAGAAACTTTCTTACAAATCAAAACTTGCACATTATTGAATAGTAAATAAATATGTTTAATGGATAATTGAAAGATTGGCTTTCGTTACTAAGAAAACCCGTGCAAAAATGTCGTTTATTATATAATGTTATCGATCAATAGAAAATCCATGAGCGATTGAAATACACGAATGGCAGATAATGCCTTTGTATCTCAATCGAATCTTTTCTACAAAATAATAAATATAAATAAACAGCATTATTATAGTTCATCATTAATTTGGAGTTTCTCTAACAGAGTTTTAATACTTTTATTATTAACACGTTTACGATAAAGCAGAGTAAAGCAGTGTCCCTAGTTTGACCAAGTGCGTCGTAACTTATTTTCTAGCCTTTAAATATTTCAGAATCGTGGAGAAAAGCGAGGGATAATATTTTATTAAAGGGTTACAATCGAGCTTTACTAACCCACGTAAAAAATAAATGTCATAGATTTATTGTAATTGTCAACAATTAAAATATAACATTCGTATGAGAGTGAATCCGGAATTGTCGAAAAGGGATAAATAAAAGGAGGAGACAAATCTCGGCGTCATTCATTTCTATATTTCTATATAGATTTCGGTATATGATTCATTATGATAATCCGACACGCGTTTGTTCATTTTCGAATAATCGCATTGCCACTTGGACTTTACCACTCGACTTTCCACTTCGCCTTACGCTTGTATAAAAAATATTCAGGTATATGATACAACACTATGACTATTCCTGCGTCACGGACGCATATTTCTTTTAATTACAACCTGAAAAGCATTTTTAATGCGCGTGTAACTTCATTTATCCTTAGCTATCATTCTTTTTCTCTTTATTTATCGAGAGTCTACCGTTTATTTCATTTTTCTATTCTATTCTCTCGCTCTCTCTCTCTCTCTCTCTCTCTCTCTCTCTCTCTCATTTTATTTCTATTTATTTTATTTTATTTTTTAAATATTTCTACAATGATCACTATTTCTTCTACTATTGATAATTCGAGTAATCGTTGTGAATATTGACAATTCGATATTGTGCGGGCAATTTAATTATTTGCATTAAATATACGTGACAATGAACGCATTATGAAATGTACGATACTACACCCATAATTCTTACATATAAAAGTTTAAAAAATCATTCACAAATCATAAGTTGTCCTTTAAAAATTTTCTCGTCGATCATCATTACGTCGACCTTTCCTAAATTGCATGCTAAATTTAATATAAACATTATTTTCATTAAAAAAGTAGAATTTCGCCAGTCAAATTGCCGGAACAAAATCAAATAAATCTATCTACATTAGTAATCGAGCCACTTAAGTATAATCTACTCAGTATTCAATGCAACGACGTTATGTTTAGTGGATGCGTGTGCGTGTGGGTGCGCGTGTGCTCGCGTAATACATGCATATGCATATGTACACACATACATGCGTTGGTTCACTTATGCGTCTCTGCGTTTGTGTGTTTGCGCGTGCGTGCGTGCGTGCGTGCGTGCGCGTGCTCGCGTGTGTGTACATATGAACAACGTCGGAACTGACTGATATGTGCCGAGAGGATATCACTATTTCTTTAAAGAAATCCATTTCACTCGTAAAAATTATACCAAATTATTGCGATTTCCATTTCTTATCGTCGTAATGAAAATCAAATGGCATCGTGAAATTGCAATCGTTGCTCACATTCTTGCTTTTTCATTTGTTGACAAACAACCCAAATATATTGCTGCGGCTTACATCAAACACAGGCATCACATCGCGTCGATTAACTTTCGTCTCGAGCTATTTAATTATATTTATTATGAAGAATTAACGTTTCAATTCTTGTTTACGACGACTCGTGATAAAAAAATATTTTCTTTATGTTTTTTCAATTCGGCGATGAAAACTCAAAAAAAATCTTTGTCGCACTAAGCAGTAGCAAATTTGCAATTTGCTTTCATTAAGCTAAAGTAATGATTATCACTTAGCAATAAGTCACTGAGTATTTTTTTTTCTTTTTTCTTTTATTGTTTTTTTTTTCTTCTTCTTCTTCTTCTTTCTCTTTTTACTTTTATTACATTATGTATTTAAGCACCTTATACCGCATTTTTAAAAGTAGCGTTTCCGACAGTTTTTAAAATGTTTTTTTTTTTAAAATGTTATCGCATCGCAGATTATATTCGGCTTTACTGAATTCAAGAACTGAGCTGAAACTCAATGATGTTCACATTGTATCATAAACTTGTCATATTCGACTTATGGGCGCGAGTGCGAATCGAAACGAAATACCAAAAGTATTAATACTATAATAATTCACATTAATGAATATTTGCTCGGGAATATGAAAATCGTATCTTTATAACCACATGGTGTGTGTGTGTGTGTGTGTGTGTGTGTGTGTGTGTGTGTGTGTGTGTGTGTGCAGTAAGATTGCAAGATAACGAATCGAATAAAAATTTCATTGCGCGCTTTCTCCTCGATGTCGCGTACATGTCCCTATCATAACAGTAGTCGAGGCAAAAAGAAAAAAACGCAACAACAACAACAACAACAACAACAACAACAGCAGCAGCAGCAGCAGCAGTAGCAGCAGCAGCAGCAGCAGCAGCAGCAACAACAACAAAATAATAAAACAAAAAAAAATTAGGAGATAAACAAAGAGGAGAAAAGGCAACTATAAAACGAGCCAACAAACGATTTTTATCATCATCACAGAGCAGTTAAAAGTACATCGTTTTCTACTTGAAAGCCTGTTTTAATTGTTGTACGAAGCCCTTAGCTCTCGTAACGCGCAAGGAGGGGGTAAAGATTTTTGTTTTTCTCCACGGCCATGAGGATACATACGACTTTCACAATCCGCTGATTAGCGTCTCCGATAATTCGAGCCTCGTCGTTTCTCAATTAAGTACAAGAGCGCGTCGGCGTAAAAGCGACGTCGCAAATTATCGGGAACGCCGGGTAAGTACTGAAGGCCCAGGGCCTGATAATGCGCTCCTAGCTCTTGGCTAAAGCAATGAACGCAATGGTCGAGGAGGTTTTGGCACTACTATACGGCGCAGCCTTTCCTCGTGCCGTAGAGGACCTTGAGCTCCGGCACGATGATCTTCTTTATCAGTACGTTGGTCTTAGCCGTGAGCGTGTCCCTGTAGTTGTCCTTCTTGAATATCTTGATGCCCGGGCGATGCACCAGGAAGGCATTGTCGACGATTAGGAAGTCGTAGTCGAGGACGCAGAGCGCGTAACCCTGAAAGCGAGAGAACGAGTGTATTATCATCGAGTGTCCTTGACCGACGAGACAGACGCACGTTGTTTCGCTCCCGTCTTGGGCGGGAGGAAATCACCTCACCTCGGCTCCTCACCGATCCTTTTATTCGTCCTTTTATTCGTTTATCGGCAATCAGAACGGGCCCTACACCGGACTTAATTGCGGGGCCGGGAGCGACTCGTTGAAAATTTCTCAACACAGCCTTACGCAGCTGCTGCCTCCTTGGCGAACCGGTTGCCGTCGCAGCGCAATACCTTACCAAAAACATTATTTTTCGGCAACTCGCGAGCGTTTAGCGATCAGCGTATGGCGTACGACACAAGGTTGTTCCGCTATTTTAAATCGCTCGCACGAAACGATAATTAGCAATTGGCAAAATTCGTCAAAAAGTCCCGACATCTCGTTAATTTAATTAGTTAATTTAAAGCTGCCCAAGCTTCCACGTAATATGGCACATTTATTTTGATTATTATTTTTTTTCTTTCTTTCTTTTTTTTTTTTTTTTTTTGAAAGCAGATAGTGGCTTTCTTTTTTGGCGAGGTCTCGCAGTGTCCCACGTCCATCATTTGACCGAGAGTGAACAATGGTTCGTCGTTTAATTGTGCGCCGATTTTACGATGAAATTTTACGCCGATCGTCGCTCCCGGTCCCGGCCGAGCTCTCCAAGGCATGTCCGAGCTTCGGCTGGGAATAATAATACGGATAATTCGCCTGAAAATTCGGCGCATCTTGATAGGTACTTTGGTGGCGGGTACGGGGTACGGGGTATGGTGGAGGTGGAGGGGGTGGGGGTGGAGTGATATTGGCGAGGAGGAAAATTTTATTTTGATCGGCGGATATGAATTCGTCGGGAACGTAGTGAAAGTCAAGTGGCCCTCTCACCTGCGTCATCTTGTCGCTCTTGCCCTCCCAGCTGAGGCGCTCGTCGTAAAGGGGATCGTCGTTGGTACCGATGTAGATAGGCTCCCAGTGCACGAAGTTCCCCGTACGCTTGCCGACGTGGAAGACGTGAAGGCCGTTGGTCTCCGGGGCCTCTTGCCATTCCTTGCTCCTGGGCACGTTGTGGCAGCCGGCGCAGAGCTTCTTGTGAAAAGGTATCGCCGTGCCCATCTTCAGCATCCGTATCTACGACTCGTCATGGCCAACGTCAATCACGGGTAAAGAATCTTCGCTTTTATCGGCGAAGCCAATTGGGGAGTGAACGTCAGGGTGACGTTTACGTTGCGAGATGCGACGTGGCGAGTAGGGGTCGGTAGATGGGGTTGTTTTCTCGAGTGGTACTAATAACGGGTGGGTGGGGGGTGCGAGGGAGTCTCGCCATTAGCTTTCATTTAAGCTCGATCGAAGTCACTGCTCTCCTCGACACACTTTACATCCGATTAATTAGCATTTCAGTCGGTTTATCTCCCATTGTCCTACGTACGCTTCTTTTTCATTTTTTTTTTTTTTTTTTTTTTTTTTTTTTTTTATGACTTTTTTATAACATTTTATCCGACGCTTCTTCTGTCGTATGGCGCAAGATTTACAGACACGTCCACGCGACATAATGCAGCAATGTCGTGCTTTTTTCCTTTTTTGTTTTCTTTAAAGTAATTAGCGCCGCCAACAAAGCATCAAATTGACATTTATACGCTGCAGAGATTTATTAATTATAGAGTTTATTCCTTTGGAAGAAAAGAAATTGTTACTTTAAATTGTCCGATTAATTGCGTATATCCTGGAACATCGATGATAGTTATATATATATATATATATATATATATATAGACGTGTGTAAGAAAGATAGATTATAAAATGAATTAATGATAACGCCGAATGTCTTTTTTTTGTTTTGTTTTTGTTTTTGTTTTCAGTGTTTTAAATGGCCAATTTTTGTTCAAATGCACGATACTGCATTACAAGATTCATAATTCAAAACAAAAGTCTATATAAAACAATATACTTGAAAATATACACATCTACTTCCTTTATCTAAAGATTTCAATAAAATGTTATGCTTTATTATTATATTTATTATACAAACTTTCCACGGAAGGATTATCGCAATTAGCGCAAATGTGCTCCGAGCTTAATAATATTTTTCCAGCTCCACGATCGTTAACAACATTACATTTAAATTACACAGGTGAAGTATCAGTAAATTTGTTAAATATATGATTTTCTCATTAAGAAATGAACATTTAAATAACAGTTGAATTTAACCATTATATTATGGAATTTTATGAGAAGTTGTAAATAACGTCAAAAGTGGTATTTAATTCTCATCTAAATTATCTAAATTTAAAACGAAATAAGCCATACCGTGTATTATAAAGATATTATTTATTTCAGAATAATTTTCTCATTAACTCAATTATTTTTAACTTCCATGATAATTTTCATGATAATTTATTGCAAATATGCTCATTAAACGTACACAATCATAAAAACACGATTAGTCAAATAATCATTAAGAATTTAGTTACAAAGTTAATTCCACATTAAAATAAGATGGAACAAAAGTAGAAGCATGAAGAAGACACTAAAGTCACGTACGAAAGAGTAGTTTGCAACCGCGACTTTTATAAAATAATATTTTTATTTTATAGAAATAGTGTAAGAATGCTGTAACATTCGTTGTAATATAAAAAGTTTGATCAAATTCTTTTGAATTATCTTTAAAAAATGAAAAAAGAAAAAAAAAATCTCCACAGAAGAGCGTATTTAAAGTAAATTCTCGCAATGGCATATCCTAAGAGTGAAAAATATTAATGCATTATAAAACAAATTCTCCGCCATTATAAATAATTATTATTAAATATAAGGATATGGAAATTTCTCTTACGAAAACAAAAAAAGCAGAAACAATATTGAACGGACTTTAATGAAAAGTATACATTATCACGGTAAAAAGATATTAACAAACGAGCATGGTAATTGATAAAAAAATAATAATAATAATAATAATAATAAATAAAAAAACAACAACAACATGCGCATATTTTAAATACTAAAATTAAGATGAATTCATTGTTATTATTTATCGGCATATTTCATTATCGTCTAGCTTTGGCAATATAGATTGTACAACCTGCGAGCTTAATGTTATTGGTAATGTTATTACGTATATGACGAATTCAATAAAAATATCGATTCCCATTGAAGTCATAAAAGGCCGAGGGCTTACCACGGGTCATCCATTGGCTAGTAAAAACTTTTCGTTTAATTTTCTCGATTAATAGCGTTGTAATATCCTATAGCGGGGCAATTCCCATAAAATCGGGCGATTAATTAAAGTGCTCGCGTCAAGGCTCTTTCGGTGGGTGGGGGGGGGGGGGGGCTAAAAGGACGAATGGGGTGAACGATGTTAAAGGGGCGAAATGTGCTCACCAGGATGCTCTTATTGGCAGGTGGTTGGCTCTTCTCGTCGACCTCGAATATCGACAGGACGAAGACCTTGGGATTGGGCCTGAGCAGGGCCGGCTGGTCGCTCTTCCTAATCATCTCGAGGAACTTGACCGGCAGATCGGGACTCGGGTAGAGCTCGATGTCGCTCGCGAGGATATAGTGGGTCGGCGAGGACTCCCGGGCCACGTTGCGGCCGACGTTCACCGGGTACAGGAGCTTACGCTCGCTCTTGTACATCCGGCCGACATTGACGTTAATCCAGGGCGCGGCTTTGCTGCAGTTGGCTCGTTCTGAGGCGACCTTCTCGCCCACCGGGATCTATGTGATCGATGATCATTAGCAAATCGTAATTCACGAACGAGTCGAATTAATTATTGCGAAGAAGGGGGCGAGAGCAGCTTGGAAGATTATTGCTCGTTCTCATCTCTTATTTGCCGTTTGTTGTACTCGTACTCGTTACTCGGGCTCGAGTGAAATTTAGTTTTTATCAAACGTTCGAATATATCATTACGTTGGGACGAAAAAAGGTGTTTTTTTTTTTTTTAACCAAAGACTCGGTTCTTCAAAAGGATCCTTAGAAGGCTAAACAACTGTCATTTAACTAATTATATTAATTCATTGTAACAATAAAAATTTGCATTATATGGAAATATCTCGAAGTAATTGTAAAAGAGTCATCGTTTATTAATTTCTTTTGCTTTCGCTTAGTTTTCGGGGGAATGGATATTTTGGCCCGACATTAAAAATGAAGTCCGTTTCATATATTGATAAAATGAACAATCAGTTGGTGTGTGAGAGGTATAATAGTATTGAGCAGAATCCATTATGAAAATGATATGTTATAAATCGTCGTTTCCAGACAATTATTGGGCCTTTAGATTATTTATTTATTTTTTTTTTTTATAAAATATGCTGTGTATTATTTACAATAAAAAAAAAATCAAGGTTCCTTTAATGATTGTTGCTTTGACAAAGTAATCGACGTAATAGAAAATTATATAATATGGCACTTAGATGTAAAAAATCATTACAAATTTATTACATTATAATCGATCTTTCTCAATAGATTGTAATGATCCTCGAAATTATTGTTATTGTCGTTGTTTGTTGCTCGTTAGCATTACTTTATGCGAATTTTCATGAAAATCGTACTTAAACTATTTTCGTTTGGTTTGCTGATTCTATAATACAAAGTAACGATTGACTCTCCGCGCAACTGCTATATTAGCATTTCTGTTCTAAAAGAAAAAAAAAACAAATAAACAATCAAAAAGAAAACTAATATACGTTGAGCGTGGTCGCGACAGTCTTCGAAATGAAATTGTATAAATATATATTGTCAGCTGTTCAAAATAAAAAATTCGCATGACAAGTGTAGTTTGTAAAAATAAAAAAGACCCTATTTAAAAAATTTTTTTTTTATATGTATATATAGTTTTATTTAACACTAACGTCTACAATATATTTGTAAAACAAAAGTATTAGTATTAACCAATAATAATGAACTAATACGAAGAAATTAATTACTTTAATGCTGATTATATTAATTCGTATGAATTCAATTAACTATTTGAAAAGTACGAATGAAATATGATTATAATTGGGTGAAAGTATTTTCCTTAAAAATCAATAATTATATAAAACTTTTCTTTTTTTTTATATATTTAGTTTTTTCGAGTAAATATTGACTACTCTTCATTGATTCTCGGCATAAATTTAATATAAAAAATAAGTTTTATTTTCAATAACAATAACAGCATCAAGAATAATAATAATAATAACAACAACAACAACAAAAAAAACAAAAACAAAAAAATGAAATATTTGTTATGAAATATAATCGACGATGTAAGACGTGGATGAAAGAAAACAGGTTAAGAGTTTGCAATTATAAGTAGCCATTATAGCAAAAATTTAATACTACATAAAAATAATATATGAACGGCTTTTTAATAACCTGAAAAATTAATATCTACGTTCCATAACATTAAGAGTCACGATTTCGCAAATACGAAAGCTATTAGTTTCTGCGATGCGGACGATTAACAATATATCAAAACTTTTAAGGCATAATGAGTCTACGAGTAAATCGATAAACGCGACTGAGTCATCCAGCAATCGAAAAAAAAAACACACACACGCACACACGCACACGCACACATCAAATTCCTAGAAAATATCTTATCTAACTATAATCTATATATCTATATATCTTATATATCTATAATGACGAATTTGATTACAAAGTCTCCTATCATTTCAATTGAGCATAACGTTTTATTAAAATCTATAATGAATTTTATACTCTTTTTACAAATGAAATTTCCAAGTGACGCTTTCACTTTGCTCGTTACGGTTACCACATCATATATTAATTTCATACAATTTCACATAAAAAAAAAAAAAAAAAAAAAAAAAAAAAAATTTATAATCAAATGTTATAATTCAAATGTTATTTATCGTGCGGTTAATATTTATTAACTTTATGTTTGATGTAGCAAGTTTGATATGCGGTACAATGATAAAAGCAAGTCATGCGAGTACCCTATTGACGTCATCGATGTCAAATTTTTAATCCAATAATTGAAAATGGAATTCAATTTGACGTTGAACGTTCGAAGAGCGATGTGGTGCAATCGAAGGGAATCAATGAAGTAGCATTACTGTTCACATCGTAGTGCTCCAATTGTAAATTGTTTGATTAAAGCGGAGGAAAAATCCTTATCCGCTTCTAGTGTCCTTTGATGAATAAGTAAATCGAGCTTTACTGGAATAGTGTGCATTTAGCGACTAACCCAATTCGTTAACAGTCATTCTCTATGTTAAAAATAAAAACAAAACAATAATCACGCTTAAAGAATGGAATTTGAACATTCAGTGGACAGTACAGGCTTTTAAAGTACAAATGAAAAGAAAAAAACAAAAAAAAAACAAAAAAAAAGAAAATTATATCAATCGCTGTAGATTATACGGTCGAAACGTAGATTCAGTCACTTCGCTAAACGATAATGTTACGTTTAAAGAGCACAAACAAATACTAATGATTTTTATCATTTAGTAAGATATATAAAGAAGATATAAGAAGAGTAAAAAGAAAGAAAAAAAAAAAACAAAGAAAAAGAACGACCAAATTTTTTATGAAAGATTAATTATTATCAAGCGCTCGAATATCATATAATTGGCCGTCGATATCGAACAATAACAAATTTATCCATAAACTATCGCTGGTGTCGAACGAATCGCTCATTTCATAAGCTTTTAAATTTAAAAGTTGATTATTAAATAGAAGTAAATGACTCGACAGATGGGATGCGATCGATAGAGCACCACCCAACGACTGCATGAACGAGTAAAATTTGACAATTGTACGTTAATTATCTTATATAGGGTTTGACGCCGAGACTCGGGTCAGGTAGAGGGATGAAAATGTCGGCAATAGTAATGGGAAGTGAAAATTGCTCGAAGACTTAAATCGGCATTCGTATGACGACGCCAGCAGTTCGTCATAAAAGCATTGGCGCATTAAGATGAAATCGAGCCCGCGGGGCTTAGCTTCTAATTAAAATCGAAGCGAGAGAAAGCCAAATGACAAGGAAAAATAGAACGATAACCTGGCGTATCGATCCGTATCGTAAAAATCGCAATTTCACGAAAGAGCGAGTCCAGTGATCCAAATGGCAATCAATCCGACTCCAAGCATAAGGACCAGTGCCAAAGGGGACTGATGGGACGAGTAGAATTGGGGATGGGGAGGGAAAAGGATAGGAGCGATGATGCATATCTAACCAGACACGGTGGTAGGCAGGATCCGCGCAGTTTTCCTTCCGAGAGTCGTAATGGGGATCGATCGAGGTCGTGGAAATCGTAACTCGCCCCGGTGGCACAAATTTTCCTCGATCGGCGCTTTCGTCTCATTGCCGTCATTGCTCTTTCGCTCCGTTTACGGGCGACTCGACGGCCTTCCCCCGCGCGCCTCCTAATCACGGGCCTACTGCCCGTTTTGGGAAAAATTCAGCTTATACAAGTACAAGGCTAAACGACGATGAGCCTACTCTGCCAGGTGCTGTGGATCGTATCTGGTTCGTATCTGGTTCGTATCTGGTTCGTATCTGGTTCGTATCTGGTTCGTATGTGGATCGTATGTGAATCGTATGTGAATCGTATGTGAATCGTATGTGAATCGTATGTGGATCGTATGTGGATCGTTTCTGGATGGTAGCGCGAATGCACATTTCTGGCGTTGCTCTAATTATTAGTGACGAGCTAACAAGGACAAACTGTTTGTTACCAATGATCTTCAAAGAGGTGGTAACCTTCGACTTTTTCCTATCGTTGCCTTTAACGTGCAAGTCAAGTTGCATGTTGTGTGGTAAATTATAGGCAATACGACTTTTAACAATAAAACGCGACATTTGAAAAATATTTTCTCTTCCTTTTTTTCATTATAAAGTTGATTTTTGTATTTTATATTTTGTTTAGTATTTATTTATTTTTGCTTTTCGTTTCTCGCAAAAAACAAACAGACAAACGAACAATCAAATAAATAAACTGAAATAAAAGTAAAGCTCATTGATTCGACTAACCTCGCAACATTTCATTAGACGAGAATATATATTTTAACACTGATTAAGAAAAAAAAAAAGTTATTAAAGTTACACTTCGCCTATAATATCATAACTTAATATCGGACGAGTGCCATAACTAAACTCCTTTATAGGCAACAAAATCGTAGATTATTTGAGAGTAAGACAATTAAGAGAGAAAAAAAGAATAAGAAAAAGCGAAAAAAAATTAGAAGCAAATCGATCAAATTAGAGGATATCGTGGGGAAAAAAAATAATTTTTTGAAAAAATTTAATCACCGACATAATTGACTTTCTATAATTTGATTTCTAATATATTGACGAGAGCATAGATAATATTTTGAATCAATTAATATAATTTCTAAAATAACAAGTCTGGCCAAACTTTGCATTATCTGCCTAATGTGTGCCTAATACAAAATTGAAAAGTTCGATAATAAAATTGACCAATAAATACTTAAGTAATAATCCATTATTTAACATAAGCTTCCAGAAATGTAAAAATTGTTTCAAAATGACTGTACGCGCTAGATGAGATTAGATATTTTAAGCTAAACGACCAAACCTTTTATATGTAATATTGACACTTATTACTTTAATTTAATGGGATTAATGGATTTCAGTTTACATTATTCCTACGACTCAAAGAATATATTACAAACAAAAAAAAAAACAAAACAAAAAAAAATAAAAAAAAAATAAAAAAAAAATAAAAAAAATAATAATAATTATTCTATTCTCTTGCAGACGCTAATTGCCTTTGATACTAATTGCTAAGAAATTCAAAGCATTGACGATTCAATTTTAATCGAAGCGCAAAATCATTCGTTCGACGATTGCTCTCCCTTCATTAATTATATGTTGCTTGGATTGTTCTTTTGCTTCCTTACTTCTTTTTTTTCCTTTTCTTTTTCTGTTCTTCTTTTCTTTTCTTATCTCGTCGTACAAACAATATTACGATTTATTTGAAAATGCCATGCTTTACTTATTCATAATAAGGAATATATAAATGATTTGTTTAAAACGACGATAAAAGCTTTTAATGCACTTTTATCGCTTTAATAAAAAAATTTTCATATACAATAATGTAATGAGAATGTATTGAATTAGGAATAAACGAACGTTTGGGATGATTAGTTTTGACCTTTACGAAATAAAACAATTGTTCCTACGTAATCAAGATTAGTACGTATTCGGATCGGATCGTCGATGACAAACACAAACACTGCAATTATATAATAATGCACAATTTCTTTTTATTAAATTCAAATCCATTTTTACTGAATAATTCCAAATAATTTATTGGCGTTCAATGGTCGTTCGATCACTAAATATTATTTCCTCAGTTTCTTCGTACATTTTCAATTCAAGCTTCTATGGAATGTCGTTAGATTTACATCGATGCAATAATCTATTAATACGGTGAAGCGCGACATTTGGTTAAAAAAAAATAAAAAATAAAAAAATAAAAAAATAAAAATAAAAAATAATAATAATAATAATAATAATAAAACACATTTGGCAGATACTAATGAAGTCGTGTCGGTGCGAGAATATACGGACATTGCGATGAGCTGGAAGTGGCCCAACACCACGAACGTTTTCTCTCTAATTCTAGGAGAAGAGCTGCTTCGTCCCTAGCTCGAGCAATATCATCATCCCTAAATGCGCCCGAAAAGGTACTCGAGCGACTATTTTAGAGGCGCGATGTAATTGGGGCTCCCCATACCATTTTTGGCACGTGTTTGCTGCTGAAGTAGACGTGGAAGGTGACAAGCTGGGCGACCAGTGGACTCCCGCAGCTCCGGGCGTGCTTGATGGCCTCGATGGTCGCGGGGAAGTCGGTACCGGGGGCGTGCAGAGCGATGGATATCGGGCCCCGCCAGCGCTCCAACAGCGGCTCCAGATTGTCCAGGAACGTGTAGTCCGCGTGAGTCGTATAGGTCACACTCTCCCAGCAGTGTACCTGATGAGCAAAGAGAACCTCGTTATCGGCCATCGCGTCGTCTTTATCTATCGCGGTGGTAAATGACTCCATCTCCATATTTCTGCCTCTGGCGATTTTTTTTTTTTTTTTTGTTTTTTGTTTTTTTGTTTTTACATTAGACGAATGGCGCGAGAGCGAATAACTAGTCCCGAGTCTTTTTATTAATCGTCCGTCAACTCGAGCGTTAATTCGATTGGCTTAGCAGCCGGAGACTATTAATATTTCGATTCAACAGCGCCGTAGATATTTTTATTTCTCTTACTGCAATTAACATACTGCGGGCGTGTTTTTTTGTTTGCTTTTGTTTAAACTTTTGGTGGATATTTTACTTTACGGCGTGCAAATTGACGTTCGGACGGGAATTGCGAGCCCGAGGATTAATGCGACTGTGAAGCAGAGTATTAAAAATGTCGGTATGCGGGACTAATGCATCCTCCCCTTTCTCGAATGGCTCTTAGTTAAGAAATCAAATTACATATAAATTATGCAAGTTAATTTGTACTCGGCTTTTTTCAATGACTTTCTCGGCACTTAATGTCGCGGTGAAAAGTAATCGAAATTGAAGGGGAAAAAAGCGAAAAGAAAAGAAAGGAAATGAAAAGAAGGAAAAGAATTTCTTTCCATGATAAGCATAATTGGCAAATCTTATTTTCTCCGGGGATTTATTTAGAGAACCGTTGCGTCACAACCGAATGAAAAGTTTATGGGAATCCAATTCGAATCGTTTCGAGGATGAGATGGTGGGAGAGACGATGCTGCCCACTTTATCAATGGGCAAACGTCAAATTAACTTTTATATAACAATTGCAAAGTACGCGCGTACCTTCATGCTCATAGGGACGTAATTGTAAAGTACCCAATAATCGCCTCGTTGGGCTGTTTTTGGCTCCGTTGATTTGTCATTGCAGAGTATCGCTTCTTGCAATGTTAATTCCTTCTTAATATTCCCGTTAGCCTGCAAATAGTCAAAGAATACCATATTAATATTCGAATTTTCTCTCGTGCTAATTGCCATCACGACAATTAACAATAAATTTATAATAATCTATTTCATAGAAATATATAATCTACGGTTCGTGCTAAACATTCGTTTACGATCGACTAATCTTTTACTGAATTATAAATTGTATGCACTGTCTCACACAAATTACTTAATAAACATACTGTTACACGTGTTATATGCGGTGAGCAACTTTCTTTAATGCAAAGTAACGCTCCCTCTTCCATTTATGTAAAAGAAAAAATAAACTCACTAATTGTACAGCATTCTTAACGAGTTAATGTGTCGTACAAAGTTAACAAATAATATGCAAAGGAGACAGATGTGAAACGTATAGAGAAAAAATTACATTGTGCATTTGCATTTGAAAAAAAAAAAAAAAATAAAAATAAAAAAAATTTAATAAAAAGTTAGAACAGTACATACAAATTATAAGTCATCCGTTAATTATATGACGCTTTTAAGAAATATTTGATCAAAGATTGATATGAAATATTGCATAAAGTAATGTGAGACGGGAGTAAAGAGGTGTCTAATGGGATATACTACTTTCCTTTTTGCCTGATAAAGGATAAAACTTGTTTCTATAATGCAGTCTCGACTGTAATGCTGCAGACGCAGCAGCGAAGTAAGGGCTTGATTTTTCCAAATGAGATTGTCGAGGTGATAAAAAACTGCGTTCCATTAAATTTTCACGTATAAATGCAGCTGATAAGTGGATGAACTGGAATGAGGAATTTTTATAATTTGCGTACATTGGGGAGATTACGCGTGAGCGTACATAAATCTATGCGCGTGATTGCGCGTGATTGCGAGTGATTGCGCGTGATTGCCCGTGAGCATAGGCGCTTGCGTGTACATCAACTTTGCTTTTAAGCTAAATTTCAAACATGAAAATGAACTTCAATTATCAACACTTGTGCCGAGTAGAGAAAGGAGCTTCCAGACAAATCTAGTCGCTTATTTCTCAACAATTGCATTCTATAATTTTTAACTTCCTAATAGGATAATGTAATTTTTCTTTTTGCGACTTTTATTTTCTTTTTCTTACCACTAAAGTAGCGACGATTAGTGTAAGAGTGCGTTGTTTCACTACGAAAGCATCATCACAAACATTATTTACGAATTTCACATGCGTGTGAACATAAAGAGTTAAACATTTGCAAGAATTGCACTGGTTCTGCCATATAATTTTGTGATGAAAATAGTCCCTAATTGTCCAGGCTTAAAGGCTGAGTCAAATTTCACGTTAATTATCGGTTAATTATATGTAAGTTTGATAAAAATACGAAAGATCTAAGTCCCTAATTCATTGCAAATCACGATTCGGTGACGATTCGGTCAATAATGAAAATATAATATTAATTCCGAGAACTATTATTTATTCTTCTCTCCCTCTCTCATTCGTTTGTTATTTAACCACTAGTTTCTTATTGTATAAAAAAAGAAAAAAGAAAAAAGAAAAAAGAAAAAAAAAATATATATATAATAGTTGTCCTTGTCTAAATTAGCATAATAATTTTCTTCGCGGATATAAGATTGACTGGAAATTATAAAACGAACGGAGTAATCGTAATTACTCTACACATAAGTGAAATCATAACATTCATAGAATGAACTATCAAATTACCATAGAAAGAAACGATGATTAATTAATTACCAAACTTGTATTTTCTCAAAAATCCGCAGCTCGTATTAAGCCATCAATAATGAACTATCGTTTTGAATTTTATCGAATAATTATTTTATCATGTATTAGCGCACGAGATTAGCGCCGATGCTTAGATGAACCGGATTTAACAAAAAAAAAAAAAAAAAAAAAAAAAAAAAAAAAAAAAAAAAAAAAAAAAAAAGTGTGCCTTACAATAACAAAACTATTTCGAAGGAATTAACGTACTAACGTGATTTAATATAGAGAATCGTGAAAAGAATATAAAGTTAATAACCGATAAATCGATCTGTATGGAACCCTACGACTACCATCGAAGTTAGCCTACATTTGAAATTACAGCAATAAGTGATCTAATCGGCACATCCAATCTAATATCAGTTTGCACTCACTTTATAATAATTTACATGACTATTTTTAATTTCATTAACAGCTGCTCAACATATATATATATATATATATATATATGTATATATAAATGTTGTTTCATTTAATTTCTTGTAATCAGGTCATTGAACCATAGAAGCTTATCTTTTAACATAATCGAAGTGGTACATTATATCAAGTACACTCGATCATTCACCTTCTATATGCGCAATATCATATGAAACTTTATTACATACTTTACTTTAAAACATCGTAAATACAACGAGTTTTTATATTATAAATTACACTGTAAGCATAGAGTGAAAATTGCTGATGCAGGCTTGTAAATAAATTTGAAATAACAAAAAGTATTATTAAATAAATTTGGTTAATGACAAAGTTATCGAGAAATTTCTTTTAATATTCTACTTGCTAAAGTTTCGGAACTTTTGAGTACCTCGTTATTTGGACAATTTTTATTTACACATAGAAAAATGTAAAGTCTTTAAGAAAGAAGGAAAAATAAATAAAATTTAAAAGATTTGAATTTCGAATTGGATCAAATTTTTCTTCTTTATTTATCTATCGAAAATCTAACGCACGCGAATAGCTTATTGCATACACACTTTTTTTTTCGTTTACGTTGGGCGCGCGTACGCGCGTCTATATCTTAAAATTTCTCTTTTATTATTTGCCTATAATTTTCTTGTCAACTTGAGACACATCCAGATAATCGTCGCATTTAAAGTAAGAAATTAACGATTTTTAATCAATTAGAATTACTTTATTCAGAGTCGTTGATTGATATATTATATTGATCTTGATGGTTATAAATTCGCATTCCTCGGTATTGAAACATTTACACATCACAACACGACCGTCCTAATGGTGATAATCAAAGAGAGACAATTAATTCATTTAACAAATACGCTCAAATTAAATTGACAAAATATGTCTTTGCGCATGTTTCATTGAGAAGACAGCGGTTATTAATAAACTCTATACCATTACAACTAATTGACTAATCGTTTGCATTAATTTATTGAAATCATCATTATACTTATGTGTAAACAAACTATCGGTTAAAAATCACGTGACATAGGTATTCAACAATATGAGAGAGTAAATTTTAATCACATTCGTTAACGAAATACCTTGGTAAGATAATTTTAATCATAAATTGCATTAAACACGCATAATTAACTCCATGAAGCTCCATCAGCACGCAATTTATAACTTCGTTGCCCCCTTCTGTGTATCTAAACATTTCATTTCTATTACAATATACACGAACAGCGCGAGCATCGAAAACTCAATTTCAACTTTGTTTAATGGCGTAAGAGACAGGAAGACTATCTGAATATTTACATAGGGACATGGAGAACGTTATTTCTCATAACCGACAATATTTCGTATCGTGCCGCTGTCGATAAGGAGTAGTAAGTATGCCGAATATGCCATATATAAGTAGCGACGATTATATTTCATGGCTAACCTTTATTAATGCTTATAATAAAGTTTCCCGAGATATGATTTATTTTAAATTAAAGCAAAATACACGTCCGCTTGATACATCAAGAATATTGAATTTGCGATCATTTCTTCTTCTTCTTCTTCTTCTTCTTCTTCTCTTTGAGCGTCGCTTGAATAGGTAAATTGAATTATATCGCGTCACGTGCTAGCGGGCGTAAATGCATAAATGTTTACTTTTGAAAATGAAAACAATCGGACTGCCGTGAATTGATGCCGTATTGAAAAATATCAGCAAAATTAGTTTACTACGGCATTCGAGCCCGTAAGACTGTTGATGGCGAAAAACAGTAATAAAATAATAATTTTATCATCGGCTCGACAAGACGCCATTTCACCAAAGCCAAATTCTAACGTAATCCTCCCTTCGAAAATTGCCAGCCGATGCCTTGCAAAAATACACTCGAAAACATAAAACAATCGATGAAATGATTACGAGCCCCAACTTTGTCACGATATATAAGCAATTAACACTAAATAGAGAGCTCTCTAAGCCCCAAGACATTTTTACTTCTTATTATAATATATATATATATATATATATATATATATATATATATATATATATATGGCGGCTATCATTAATATAAGAAACAAATGGTAATTAAATATTAAAGCTTAGTCCACTCGTTTCTGACAATTACAATACTTATGTCCTGCACTCGCACCGCTAATAAAATTAATATGTTTTTAATGCACTTCGAGACCCGATACCGTAGCGAATTAATTTCCCGCACGTTTCTTAATACACAAGTAACACTTGTACATATAATAATGGCAATAGCCTATACGGAGCGAGTGAAATGGCCGGCAAATGTTGCAATTAGGCTATCTTGATTTATCGGATTGAACTATCTAGCCGGGCGATCCGTTTCCTATGAATGAGACAGAATTGATGGGCGTTTAGTTAGATGGGGATGGGATGGTATGGGGGAAGGTGTTAGGGGGGTTGAAGTGGAAGACGGAGTGCACTGGGCCTAGAACTTGCTCCGCGATGAGGATGGGGTGTCGGAAAAACTCACCGTCCGATCGGGTCGTTGCTCGGCTTCCTCGGATTCGGCAGCCTCGGGCGGTGATTTGGTCTCGTTGACCTTGAAGCGCACGGGCTCGGGCGCCGGTCCCGGCTGTTTGGACTCCTGCTGCCGAGCTGCGGGTAACGCCGAGCGCGGCTCCGCTGGGGCCGAAGCCGTCGCCGTGCCGTTGAGCCGCGGTACCGTGCCGTACATCATCTCCTGGGATGGCGCGGGCCCCGAGCTACCCCAGCCGGAGCCCTCCTCGATCCAGGGTCCGGATACGGCTCCGAAGTGCGCGCACACGTACAGGAGCACGCAGACGTTGAGAACGATCGAGAGCCGTAGGGCCCAGTTGCGTCGGCATACCACGCCGAACATCCTCGCGCCTCCTCACCAAGTGCCTGTCAAAATCGACCGACAATTGGCCACTGATACTCAAATGCCACCGCCTCCGTCGACATTTTCACTAC